TTCTCTTGCCCAGCCCTCCATCCCCGTCCCTTCTCCAGGCGAGGCCCACGGACCGATCCACGTGATGGATCACTCTTAGATATAGTAAATTCAGCAATGTAGCTGGATATAAAATCAGTCTCAAAAATCAATAATTGCTATACATGAACAACAAAATCACTGAGAGAAAAATAAGAGAAGTCACACCCTTCCCACTAGCATCCAAAAACCTGAAATACTTAGGAATTAATCTCATGAAAGATGTAAAAGGTCTATGTAGGGGAAATTATAATACCCTGAAAAAGAAATTGAAGAGGATCTCAAAAAATGGAAACACATTCCTTGTTCATAGATAGGAAGAATAAATACTGTGAAAATGGCCATTCTCCCACAACTGTTATACAGATTCAATGTTATCTCAGTGAAAATACCGTTAACATACCTCATAGATCTAGAGAAACCACTCCTAAAATTTATCTGGAACCGGAAGAGACCTAGAATTGCAAAGGCAATTCTAAGCAGCAAAGGCAAGGCAGGAGGCATCACAATCCTGACCTGAAGTTATATACTGTAATAAAATCCACAGGGTACTGGAATCAAAACGGATATGAAAATCAATGGAATAGATTAGAAGATACAACCACAATTACAAACACACTCAACCACCTTATCTTTGATAAAGGGGTCAAACATGTTCACTGGAAGAATGACAGTCTGTTTAACAAATGGTGCTGGAAAAACTGGCTCTGTATATGTCAAAAACTAAAACTAGACCCATGCCAATCACCATATACTAAATTAAAATCTAAGTGGATCAAAGATCTAAATATTAAAACAGAATCACTAAATTTGTTGGAAGACAGAGTAGGTAAAAACCTTGAAGATATAGGCATAGATAGAGAATTTATGAACAGGAAACAAACCACGTGGGAAATACTTCCCAGAATCAGTAACTGGGATCACATCTTATTAAAGAGTTTCTGCATATTGAAAGAAATCTCCAGCATAGTAAAAAGAAAACCCACAAACTGGGAAAAATTCATAGTGAACTGTCCCTCATACAAAGAACTTATATCTAAAACATCTAAAGAATTTTTAAAAATCAGACTCCCAAAATTCAAAGACCCAATAAAAAAATGGGCATCTGAGATGAATACATAGTTCTCAGATGAAGAAATACAAATGGCAAATAAATATGTGAAAAAATGTTCACCATCATTACTCATTAGAGAAATGCAAATTAAAACCACACTGAGATTTCATTTCACCCTGAAAGAATGGCCAGGATCAAGAAAACCACCAACAACAAATGCTGGAGAGGCTGTGGGGAAAAAGGAACTCTCTTACACTGTTGGTGGGAATGTAGACTGGTGCAACCATTGTGGAGGTCAGTCTGGAGATTCTCAAAAAGCTGGGATTGGGATTCCATTTGACCTAGCTATTCCACTTCTAGGCATATTCCCAGAAGAACTGAAAGCATCATACCACAGTGATATATGTGCACCCATGTTTATAGCAGCACACTTTGTAATCACCAGATCTTGGAAACAACCTAAGTGTCCATCAACTGAGGAATGGATAAAACAGTTGTGGTATTTTTATACAATGGAGTACTACTCTCCTACAAAGAATGATCACATTGAGATATTTATAAATAAATGAATGTAAGTTGAGACCATAGTCATAAGCTAAATAAATCAAATTCACATGTATAAATACCACATAGTCTCTCTAGTGTAAGAAATGGTAAGAGTACATAAGAGTTTATGGTAATCATGATTCCCCATTACATTGCTTTAAAGCCTTATAATGTTTTCATTAATTAGTTGGAATGGTTTTATTCTGTTTTGTTTGATTTTATTATGTGTGATGATATGAACAGCTATTTTGAAGAAAACAAGATACTATGGCAGCCACTGATGATTTAATATCATTTTGTTTTGAAGTCATACCATAATTTAGTTCTTCTGTTTCCATTGGTTCTATCATGTTGTGTATTGTTGGCTTTTCATATGTGTGATGATATAAACAAATTTTTTATGGAAAAGAAGATAATATAGTAGTCATGGTTCATTTTCTGTTATTTGGTTCTGAATGCCCTCTAATACTTTCATTCTCTTGAATAGTGCTATACTATTTTGTTGTGTTTGATACTATTGTATGTGAAATTATGCTCAATTATTTCAAAAAAAGAGACATTATGGTAGCTACTATTAATATCTAGTTGTCTTGTGGTGAAGTGCTGTGTTGCTTACATTGTTCTGTTGTGATCTGCTTTGTTCTGTCCTGTTTTGTCTTAATCTCTTTAAAATAAAAAAAAGATTATTATATTTTTAATGCAGTTAAATTGTTTCCTTTTTTCTTTTATAACTTTTATTTCAATGAATTCAGTTAATTAATTAGTTAATTAATTAATCTGCTCCTTTGTTTTACAATAGGGTCTTGCTACATTACTAAGGTGCCCAGGCTGGATGTAATCTTGCAGTCCTCCTGCCTCAGCCTCCCAGAGTTCTGAGATTATAGGTATGTGCCATCATTCCTGGCAATTAAATTATCTTCCTCAGGGACATTTCTTTTTTGTAAGCTATGCAGTTTATAATTGAAGGCTTCAACAGATTATGTATTCAAATTCTGCCAATATGTATTCATTTCTAGATGACTATGGATTTTTTTCCTCCTGGGCAAATTTTGCAATTTACTATTTATTTGTAATGTTGATTCTTTCAAATGCTAGAAGAATGCACTGCTAGGCATGATGGCACACTCCTACAATCTCGGCACTTGGCAGGCTCAGGCAAGAGGTTCATCATGTGTTTGAGGCCAGCCTGTGCTACATATGAGACCCTGTCTCAAAACAAAACAAGAAGATACGCATATATGAACATCGTACTGTCACTGTAGTGTAAAGCTGAAAGACTAAATAAGATCCAAAATGTACAATAGATACTGTAAAATGGGAAGAAACTTCAAAAGGAAAGAGAAACTGGGATGGAGGAATGGAGAAAATCAGGAAAGGAAAAAAATATATATAAAATATAAATATTAGATAGGCTAGTTATACTACTAATGTTTCTTAGTTCACTGAAAAAGAAAGTTTTATGCTAATATTGTTTGGACAACTAAATGCTAATATATTGTACTTTGAGCAACTAATTTAAAGATAACAATACTCAATGTATTAACCATTGTTACCCTCCTATTATCTTGTTGTGAAATTTTGTTTTAATTTTTTTCTCTTTAAAGTAGAAACAAAATGAAATTAAAACACAAAAAAGAATGCATTTAAAATATTCTTCCCCCTAAATACGTGAAGTGATGGATGTTAATCAGACTGATTTGATCATTTTACAGCATGTAAAATACAGCAAAACACCACAGTGTACCCCATAAATATTTCCAAGTATGTTTGTCAATTGAAAATGTAAAAATAAAATTGAAAAGTTAAATTATTCAGTCAAAGGATGGTCAATCATAAAGTGTGCTAAGTGAGTCTAATTGTGGAGGGTCCAGTGATCAGACAGCTCCAGGTTACTGTGTGGTGATCTTCTTGGACTTGGAACATGCTCCTCAGACCCACCACTGATCAACCCTGGAGCACACCATGGGAGTGTCAGTCACCAGCCACATCAGTCCTGGAGTCTAGAGACCCCTCCCTTGCCTACACACCTGTCCAAGTGTGTCCTGACCCCTTCCTCCACCCAATCTCAACAGGTTTTACACGATTGGGACCTAACAGAGCCACTGCACATACTACGTCAGTGTTGGCTTGAGAAGTTCCAAGGGATCCACTTTCTGACCACTCTACTTATTCCACGAAATCACACTTTTACAGGTGACTAATTGAACATCTACCATTTGACAATACAGGAGAGATCTTAATAATGAAAAGGACTCTGCTATCACATAGTCTATAGTCCGGCAAAGGGAGACTCACTTGGAAAACAAACAAACAAACAAAAATATATCACAGTGATACAAGCTACCCAGAAAATAACCAAGAAGATTAAAGAAGTCTAGAAAGGCCAAGAATCATGGAAAGGATGAAAAGGACAAAAGAGAAATATTTAATTAAAAAGGCACCAGGCCCTGATGGTTTTGTTTGCTAGGACAACTTTGGTGTCTCCCACCTCCCATCAGTTCGTGGTCTGTATTGTTCACTAGGGATTGAACTCAGCAGATTTCATACTGAGCTGTACCCCTAATCCCTTTTCTCAAAAAAGTAATTTGGGACAACCTGGCTAAATTTCAGCTTTAACTTAATTTTTCTGAGAAAGGGTCTCTTTATGCAGTTCAGGCTGGCCTTGAGCTCACTTGGTGGCACAGGCTAGTCTTGAACTCACAAGGATCCTCCTACCTCAGCTTCCTGAGTGCTGGGATTATGGGCGTGAGCCACCACATCCAGTTTGGGCTTTAACTTTTGATCTTCCTGTTTTGGCCTTCCAGAGTACAAGTATGGTATGAACCACCAGTTTGGACTTTTAGTTTTGACTCAGGGGACCATGGTTGGCTTCTCACTCAGGGCTTGCCTTGTCTCCAGCTGGCTTAGCCACTCCCTAAACCCTCAGAGCCTGACAAGAGCATGGACCACGTAGGGAGAGGCAGGAAGGCAGGTGCATGAGGCGCAGGGCAGGAGGTGTGGCCCCTGTGATGTCTCCTGGAGGGTCTTTTGTGACACTGTGCAGCCTGGTGAGGACTCCAGAGCCTGCTCGCTCCCTGCCCACTTCCCAGTGTTGCCTTCTGAGAGTGAGCGAGATGTAAGAGGCATCAGGGACCACGACAGTAAAATACTGTGTTTCTGTTGTATCCACCAAGTTCGCAGTAATTTGTTACTGGAGGCCCCCAAAACCCATATGCACACCTACAAGGAATACTGTTTTTGTATATGAAGACAGTCATAAAACTTTACTGAAGGACCTTTTAAGGAGTCTGAATGAATAAATGTTTCATGAATTAATGCATGAGAGAGAGAAGACAAATGGAGAGAAGGGGTAGTAGATTATCAAACACACTGATCAAACCAGTTCTGGGAACATAAAATATGTATTAGCAGAACAAAAGATGTTAAAAGAGAACAATATACTAGTGAGTAGCAGATGTATTACAAAGGCATAGTGGTTAAAACAGTAGCAAGGAAACAAGATGGCTAGAATAAAATATGTCATCCCATGAGTGAATTTCCCTTTCATTTCACTGTTTCATCGCACCCATTGGAGTAGGGGACAGAGACCACGGCAGACACATGGTGTCCCAGTGAATGTGCAGAGGGACTGAGGCCACCCAATGTGGGAAGAGGGATAAGTTGTGCTCCACGAAGGAAGGGGTCTGAGGAGAGAGGTTTCAGAGTCTCAAAGACCTCCCTGCAAGACCAGTGGGAGTTCAGAAGGGCATTGGGGATGGGGAAGAGTGAGCAGAGGCTGCTGGCCTCAGGGGGCAGAGGCAGCAGAGACCCTCAGAGACCAGGGCAAGGAGTCAAGGGCTTTTCACAGATCCAGAAGTTCTGTGCAGTACATCTATTGTCACTCCAGGTGTTCTCGGCCAGTTGCACGCAGCCCTCGTTGCCATTGTTGTGGGGTTCTCCATCTTTCCAGAAGCTGTAGACACCAGCAGAGAAAGAGGGAAGGAGAGGGAGGGAGAGAGAGGGAGGGAGAGAGAGGGAGGAAGAGGGAGGGAGAGAGAGGGAGGGAGAGGGAGGGAGAGAGAGTCATGAGATGAGCCATGACTTATGAAAGGCCATTAACCCACCCTCGGATGAGTGGTCCCTGGGCTTTGTTGGTGAACGTCTATGTGTCAGCCAAACAGTGCTCAGAAATTCAGGACATTGTGCAAAAACGTGCATTCAGACTTCACCACCATGAGAGTCAGCACCACACATTAAAATGTGAATTCTGGGGATAGCTGTTAGGGCTGGGAGATCAGAAGCCCCCTGGGGAGGGTGGAGTCTGTGTTTGGGAAGTTCCACGGTCTATTGCTGATAACCTGGGCTGAGATTGGTGTGGTCTTTCCCCTGCTCACCCCATTCTGGGCACTGTCCCTAGAGAAGCCTCACCTGAGCTGCAGTGGGGTATTGTCCACCCAGTTCCAGGAGCCCTCTTTGTTCTGGTCACTGAGGCCGATCCACGTGAGATAATTTTTCCTGATATCCCAGTAGCTCAGGAATCTCTGGGTGAGAGAAGACCTTTCAGTGCCACCTGTCCCTGGCTGCCGGTGTCCCCATGGTGCCCTATCAGGAGCCCCCAGGCACTAACAAGTGCATGCCTGCTGTGGACATGTGCACTACTGCTCATACACACAAGCAAAAGTGTTTACTTGTGCCTCGGTTCACAGCTGCGCCAAGGGAGGGATTGTGCTGGGGGGATCTCTCAGGTGCACTGAATTCTTCCGGTCAAAATACAACTCTCATATGCGCTCCCCCCTCCTGAGCTTTCCCTAAGCTCAAGATGAGTCCCCCCTCCAGGAAGCTTCCTGGCTGTGTCTCCTCCAAGCCAATGCTAGCTGCATACCTGGACCACAGAGAAAGGAGGCAAACACCTTTCTTAGACTTGTTCCATCCCCAGGTGGACCCTTGCACAGCTCACCTGCTCTGCAACGCTGTTGATGATCACCAGGTGGGCCCCCATGGCCTGGCAAGAGGAGACAGAAGAGTCCCAGCTGCCCAGTGTCCTGGAGAAGAGGTAGCAGCTTCCCTGGAAGGGCTCCCAGTTCCAGGGACATGGACGGCACAGGCGAGCTGGGGAGCAGGGCTGTGATCAGGACAGAGCTCTGCCTCTGCCAACAGCGTTGGAATCCCAGGGATGGGGCCCCTTGGTCAAGTGTTAGTTCAGACCTTAAGAAGCTGGAGGCCACAGAGGGTGGGTCACAGCCTCTCCTAATACCCCCACTCCTTCCCAATCCAAGCATCAGACCCTTACCCAGGGAGGCATTGATCTGGCTCAGCTGCTGGTGAATCTGCTGCAGACTTGAGTGTACTGGGCCCTGAGAAGCTGCAGCTAGAAGATAAGGGTTTCAATCATAAAGCCCTTATGGTATGTGGGGGGCAGAGAAGACCTCCATATTAGCTCTGAATCTCACAGTGACCTGAGAGAGCATTTTGCAGGATGGAACATGGAAACCCACTCAGACTTACCCAGCATTGCCAGCACCCACCCTCCTCCTGCTGCACCCCACCACCCATGGATAGTCCTCATCGCACAGCCTCAAAGGCCCTTCCCAGGCAGGACCTGGGATTGTGCCCAGGGCCTCACCCAATCTGAGGTTCTCCTCATGGTCCTGAGCCTCTACCTGGGGGAACTTGGGGATCCTGGAAACTGTAAGAGAAAACAGACACTCTCTGTATGGAAGACCCTGTGCCATGATCAGCTCCAAGATATCCAGGTCCTGAGCCCCACTGGGCAGGAGGATGAGTTCATTTCACAGATGGAGTCACAAACCCAGAGAGGACAAGGACCTTTCCGGTCACTCAAGAAGGAATGTGCGTCTCAGCAGAATCAAGCCTGCTGGGCTTGGGATCAGGGCAAAGATCATCCCAAACTGAGGCCCTGAGTGCGAGCCCTAGAACTCCATGCCCAAAGCAGAGGAGAGGTGTCAAAGGACACAGGCAGGTGTCCAGGGGCCAGTCCCCTCTCTTGACTCACCTTGAACCAGCGTGGTCACCAAAAGCATGAAGCAGATGGCCAGGGAGAGGATGAGCAGCAGCAACAGAAGCCATCGGGCTCGGAGCACTGCAGGGCCAGGGGACAGGCAGAAGTGGGGCTTGGGGACAGACCTGGGCCCTCTCTGCCATGCTGGACAAGACCCTCTGCAACCCCAACCGCAAGCCATACACATGGTACCTGGAAAGCTCACTGGCCGGTGAGTGGACACCTCAGGGTCTTTCTGGGTGAATCTCTGTCCTCTGAAAGTATCCTTCTCTGAATAAGCAGAACACAGTCAACTGTGGATGCTCAGCTGCCTCCCCAGCCCCAGCATGGAGACCTGGATGGGCCCTGCCCTCCCCAGCAGCACCCAGAGAGTGCCCAGCCTTACCAGGGCCGCTCGACACTTTAGGCTCACACTCTCCCGCCATCTCCTGCATCTCTCTTCTCCTCTTCTGGGCCTCCAGCCTGGACTGTGGCTTTTATAAGCTCCTGCTTTGCCCTCTGAAGGAACCACCTCCCTCCCCGGGCCATTCTTCCCTGACTCAGGAAGAAGAACAAGGAACAAGATGGGGATACCAACTCCACCCAAAAAAGGGGTAGAAAGGATCAGTGAAGGCCGGACACAGCTGGAGAAGGGTTTCAGGGTGGGGCATGTGCTTGCTGTGAACTCTGGGTCCAAGGGCACTATTGCAACTCACACCGAGTGTGGGGACTTTGAGCCTGTCTTGGGTTCACCATGAGGTTAGCACAGTGCACTGGCAATGAGTACGATCACCTACTCCTGTCACATCCTCAAGTGACAGCCCTAAAGATTCAGACATTGTTCCCAATGGCCCCCAGGATACTGCTCCCTACTTATCCCTGAGAACAGACTGGCTTCTGACCTGCAGGTGCCCACAGCCAGTTTTGCCTGGCTGTCCCAGGTGACCAGAGGGTCACTGAGGCTCCCCTCCTCCTCGCAGGAGAGGAAGTCCTACTTACCCTCAGGCTTCCAGCTGGGGGGCGCTGTTCATCTGCAGACATGAAGAACCCCACAGCGCACTCACCCTAGGTGAGGCGGCTCAATAACCATGCTTGGCCATGACAACAGTGGCAGCTTCTGCACAGTGTCTGAACACAGACCCATGGCACATCCAAGTCACGGCCGGAGCCAAGTGTCCCCGTGTGTTGGCTGAGAGGGTCCACCCTTCTGTCAATCCATCTGGGCTGTCATCCCAGGCTCTCATAGATGGAATGGCTTATAAATGACAGATCTTTCTCCAAGTCCTGGACGTTGGGAAGTCCTAGGTTGAGGTGCCAGCAGATTTTGTGGCTTTGGGAGCTCATTCCCCACTGTGCAGGTGGCTTTTCCTTGCTGCACTCTTGCATGCTCAAGAAAGCTCTCCAAGGTCTCTTTCCCTGAGGAGCATGCCTTCAAAATTCATTCACGCTATAGATGTGTTAGTTCTTTATTCCTTTCAAGAGCGTTGTGGCTTTGCTGAACCCAGAGTTCTTGATTGACAGTGTTTTTGCAGCATTTTAGTGGTACTGTCCTACTGTCTTCTCATGAGCTTGTGTCTAAGAGGAAATCCACTTTTTATGTTTGGGAGCCCTCTGTCCACAGAGAGAGGCTCCCCCTGCTGCTTTCAGGATTCTCTCTTGGTCTTTGCTTTTTACCATGATGTCTCCAGGTGTGAATCTCGCTCAGTGGCTCCTGTGTGGAGTCGTCTGAGCTCTGCATGTGAAGATGTACATTTTTCATGTTTAGTCATTGCTTCAGTTCTCTTTCTACCCCTTCCTCTACCTCTTCTCCCTCCAACTAACTCTGTGGGTTGTTGGCATTCTCGATGGGCTCACACCAGTCTATGAGGCTCTGCTTATTTTTCTTCATTGTTTTTCTTCCTGTCCTTCAGACTGGACAGTTTCAATTGACCTCTGTTCTGATCTGAGTCTAATCTACCTGCTCACATCTACGATGAGACAGTGCTGTACTGAAGCAGGCCTTGTAGAACAATACCCCTCAAACTCGTCCCCTCTACCCCTGTAGCCATAACTTCTTGTTCCAGAATAGATGAACTTGGCAACTCTGCCCTGTAAACAAAGTGCATGCCGTTTTGTTCCTGCAGGATTCATAAGGCCCTGCCTTCTTTGGAGGCTGACTTATTAATTGCTCTGTCTTCTGTACTCTCATTCACTCCCTGGATCCGGTTTCTAAAGACTCCCTGCCCTGCAGCCAAATGTGTAAAACTAGAGCCTTTCCTTTATTCTGGTGCTTGCCCATTTTGGACATCAGAAGGTCATACTGAGTCAGTGCATGCCTAAAACCCAGTAAATTTTGCCCCACTGGTTTCACTGATCTCTTGGATTCTGCAACAGTGTTTAATTCGGTTAGTGTAGTTTTCAACTTCAGTATTTTTATTGTCTCTTTTAATAATTCCCATTTCTTTGTTCCTTATTTATACATGAGTTTATTATATAAAAGAAACATTTTGCAATTTAAGTTGGTGTGTCTGATTTATTTCATTTAGCATTATGGTCTCAGTGTGCATCTGTTTTCCTACAAGTGACTCAGGTTTGTCTTTCTTTGTGGCAGGTAGTACTTCAGTGTATGTAAAGACCACATTCTCTTTATCAACCCAGCCAGGGCGTTTGCAGCTTTGCTTTAGCCTTCTCTTCCTGCTAACACAGAGTCTCAAGGCCAGCCAGAGATGAGTGCTTAGGGCTCTACCTGCTCTTTCCTAATCATGGATACCTGTGATTCCCAAGAATTTGTCAGAACTTTTCAAAGCTCTTAAGGGGATCTCATTATTTCCTGTTGTTTGTTGGTTAGGAAATGAAATCAGTATGCCAAAGGGATTCCTGCATATCCATGTTTATCATGACTTGGAGAATAGCTAAGATATGGGGCCAGCTTAAGTGCCCATCAACAGATGAATGGATAAAGAAAACGTGGTGTATATGCACAGCGGAATATTATTAAGCAGTAAAGAATAAAATCCTGTGTTATTTGCAGCAAAATGGGTGAAAATGGAAGGCATTATGTGAAGTGCAATGAACCAGACACACAAGGACAAATATCTTCTTTCTCTTACGTGAGAAGTAAGAAAACAAACACTTCAAAGTAAAATGGTGATTTCTAGAAACTTAAATGGGTGGAAAAAGAGATTGAATTTGATATGTGCTGTATGCATGTGTCAAAATATCACCCTACATCCAGTTAATATGTCCAATTAATTTGTGTCAATAAATTTGTAAAATATATTTTTGGTTGGGCTGTCATTGGTCCCAACTTTTGTCCATCACTTCAGGGAGCTGCAGCATTGAGTCATTTGACAGTGACCTCAGGGACAGTCCTTCAGCATTGGGTAGGGCCACAGGTGGTGAAGTAAAGACCAGCGTTTCAGAACAGAAGTCCCAGGAAACCACACACAGCCAATAACGGCTCCTTGCGGGGAATAAAGCTTTGAATGAGTGGCAGCTCTGTTTCCCTTTCTATTTCAAGAATCTGGACATCTATTTTTACGTTTGGGGTGCTACGCCGCAACCCAGGGCTCGTGCATGTTAGGTCACTGTTCTGCCGTGAAGCCGTGACCCCAGTCCTGGACTGCTATAATTTCCATTTAATTTTTCAAATGTGGGGTTCCACGGTGCCACTTTCTTGTGGTTTATGAGGACGCATGTGTGGTACATAATGTTTACATTCCTTGTGTGGAGTTGGTGCGTGCCCAGAGTACAGGCTGCCTCCTGTGTTCCGTCCCTCATCCTGTCCCGCCCTCCCCCCCATCGCTTGGCCCACTTCCCCTTTGAGAACGACCTCTCTCCCTCCTTCCTACCGCTGCTCTTTTGCTCTTTACTTCTGCTCTGGGTTTCGCACTTTCACACATGCGCACAACACATTTGGATCCTCGCTGTCCCCTGGTTGTTCTCCCCGCCCCTTCCCTTTTCCTCTCTTTTTGTCTGATGTTCTCCCCTCTGCTTTCTTGCTATCTTATTTTCTCCTTACATCCCACATATTAGAGAAAACAGGCAACACTTCTGGGCTGCTATTTTGACTTCTGAACTGAAAAAACAGAGAATAGGATAGGGGTGAGTTAAAATTCTCCAGAGCTTGCTGGTTTTTTTTTTCTTTGTGTGAATTTCTTTAACTAAATATAGCACTTCTGATTGCTGTAAACTTTTGGTTAATTTCCAGAGTTCTGAAAAAAATGTTGATTTTTGTCAAATCATGCCAGGTTTTTTTGTTCCTTTTTGTAGAAAGGGAAGTTTTACTTTGCCATCTTGCTGACATTTCTCTTTCATTTTTTCTCTTGATGCTTAAATTGTCTTTGATTTTGGCAGTGGATTCTTTTGACCCATGTCTATCAGTTTTTTGCTGATTAGCATTTAATTCCTCTCTGGCCCAGCTAGACCTTGCAGGCTTTGCTAGCTTCATCCTATGTTGTGGCTTGTATGTAGGTGCACACTGAAAGAGTTGCTGGCCCAGATCGGACACTTTAACCAGGAGAAGCCTCAGCCAAATTAAGGAGCTCCTGCCTCCCCCGCCCCTTAGAGATTTACCTGTAACCCTATACCCCCATCCCTAAGAACCTGCCTCTGGCGCCAAATGTGTGCCAATGAAATACCTGTGCATCCCTAATGCCCCTTGGGGTCCATCCCAGACAGAGGCTACTTATGGGCCTCACTCCACGTGTTAGAGTGTGTGTGTGTGTGTGTTCCAGAGAGAGACCTCCGGCCCGGGGTGGAGATGCTGTGCCCCGGGGGCCGCGGGGGGTCTCTCCCCACATTCCCGAAATAAAGGTTACTTATATATTATATTTCTTATCTTTGCAGCCACCGCCGCCCACTCCACTCCACTCTTTCCACTCCCTTCCTTCTCCATTCCTTCCCCTTCCTTCCTCCCTTTCCCTCCCCCTTCTCAGACCTAACAGATGGTGCCTGTGACTCGACAGCAGGTGAGAGACTCCTGTGATTTTCCCAGTTTTTTGGTCCCCTGCTGTTCAAGATTCTTCACTTCTACACTCACAAATCCTAAGTTCGACTGCTGCTTCCCAATCAACATCCACCAGGTGAGTAACTCCACAGAGATAGCCACTGGGCCAGGCTCACATGGATTTTCTCCCCTCTTTGCATGGGGTCATGACCCTTTCGCGTCTTTTAGACAGCTCATACCTAGGCCCTCACATTTTTTCCAGAGCTTTTGGGGGCTCTCTAGGCAAGCTGATGTGAGCCCACACTAAAAAAACCCTCACTTTAAAGCTTTTTACCTTTCCCGCCAGCTTCCCTGTCCCTTTGTCTACTCCAGGATCCCTCCCTCTCCCTGCACTTAAATATGTAACAGCCACTAAACCAGGCTCTTTGTTTCCCAGTGCGTGCTCCCTCCCCCCTCTCTCCCTGTCCTGCATGCCCTTTGTTCCCACGTTCCCGCTCCGGCGGCAGCGCGGCATCAGTGGCAGGGCCACCGGCGGCCCGGCGGTTGTGGGGGGGGCGGCGCGACAAATCTAGCTGCGAGCCTGGCCCTTCCCATAATCGCGTACGGACCCGGCCTGGCCCGCCCGCGCCCGGCTCCTTTCCCTTCCCCCTCCCACCGCGTTATAGCTCCCTTTGTTTCCCATGCGCGCCAACCCACCCCCGCCACCACCGTTGCCGCTGAGATTAAAATGAGACCAGACAATAAGAAATTCACATAAAACTGCTCTAGATTTTAAACAGCTTTTTTTGTTTTCGCTCTCACATTGCATTCCAATTCTGTGAGCCCCAGTTTCAGCTTCTTGCCCAGCCCGTTCCGTGCTGCACCGGCTCATTCCAGCTGATCATTTCCACCTCTGGCGGATGCCCGCGAGACTATCCACGCCACTGCCCCACGCGCAGCGGCCCACGTCCCTGACCGGGCTGCCACCCTGGCCCGAGTGCCCCGCGCCTGCCGCCGTGTCCCCGGCCGTGCCCCCCCCAGCCCACGCCGTGCCCCCCCCTGCCCGCCATCACCGCCCGGGAGCTGCCGCTTTCACAGCACACCCGGGGGCCTAGCACGCCCGTGAGCCTTCAGAGCAGAGCCCGCTTGGCTTCACCTGTGCGTCTCCCGCCGCCACAGCGCCGCCCTTGCCCCGCCCCGCGTGCGGCCCTGCGCGCAGCGGCTGTGCCCCTGACCGCTCAGCCGCTGCCCCCGCCACCGCGGCCACTGCCCCGCCCCTCCGGGGCGCTGGACTCGAGCTGTAGCTGCCATCCGTCCGTGACGCCAGGCGTCACTTCTGGCCACTACTACGGGCCTCCAAGCCCCACCCCCTTACGCGGTTGCAGCGAAAATACGTCATTTCCCTGCACCGCTTAGCACATCATAGTAAGCGTCTGGGTGGGACCTCAGCCTGCCCCGCCTACCGTGTCCTGGCGTTCGCCCCGCCCACTCTGCATGTTCCATGTTAGGGCCCCCCCCCCCCACGCGCCTGCTGTGTGGTGATGCTCATCCCGCGCCAGGCACAACTCTGTTCTCTTCCTACAGGTGCTATCTCAGCGTCTCAAGCTGCCTTAAACACTGCGCATTTCCAAAGTCTCGCAGCCCCGCCCAAACTTTTTTTATAATTCAGTTCCACTCAAGAGAGGCTATTTTTTTTCTTACAATTTTTCTACCATTTATTCACTATTACTGGTCACCTGATAATTTTACCAACCTGCCTGCCTTATAATCTTAAATGCCAATATTAAGCTCCTACATACTTACTTAATTCTACAGATAACTTTTACTATAGTCCAGATCTCAAACAACAAGGCAAAACTTGACCTTCAAGCTCCACAGAGATCTTGCTATGGTTGTTCATATTTTAAATAACACTTACAATTCTGAGTGTACAAATCTACACAAGGTGAAGCTACCTGCCCCCCCACCATGGGCCTCACTCAAATTCATCAGAAGACATCAGACAAAATCCCCCATCCTGGCATTCTTTGAGACCTTACTCCAGGGCTGTTTAGGCTATCCTGGCCACCAGAGAGTGGCCTGGCCATCCTACCTGGTAGCCCTCACAGGTCACTGCCAAAAGACCTTATTCCACGGCTGTTGGGTTATCCTGGCCACCAGAGAGTGGCCTGGCCACCCTCACAGGTCACAGGGGCCAACCGCCTTGGTGGATATCTGTCTCAGAATCCAAATCACATTAAAACTCTCAAGGTGAGACATTCTCTATATTCGTGGACATAAGAGGCCACATATACAGAGTTCTTACTGAGTTTTTAGGCTAATAAATCCTCAATGTCTCATGGAGTATTAAAGGTCAACCTATGCCAGTTACAAACAGGGCCTATCTTTATACAGGTCCCAGTCCTAAATCTTAAAATGCTTTTATTCCCTTTTAAACTGCTATCCTGGTTTCACATCACTCAGGCCCTAGATCTAACCATTCTTTTGATACTCATCTCTGCCTTACGACTCACAGGTTGTCATGTTTTGTTGTCCAGTTTGATTCTTAATTTCTTACATTCTATTAATGATCATTTCTATAACAGGACTCTCTAACAGGATTGCCTACAGACTCCAATGTCATATATACCAGAGACAAACCTTACCTACCTACCTTTTAACTTTTATGCTTTCATATGGGGGAGTAAGCACCTCTCATAACTTCACTCCTCCTAATCCCATGTTTAATTTTTCAAAATTCTGCCTTGCCACCTCAACATCATCCTGATAGAATAACAGGTCTAAATCAAAGACACCTTTCCCTCTACCTCACTTGGGTTCATAAATATGACAGTGCCATGTCTCCTCATAACATCTTGTTTCTTTGTTTTTTCCAGTCTAACATACGTGCATTCACCAATGAAGTTGTCTTGGCTAAAACACCTAACATTGGCGTCTACCTGGGCATCAACCTTCATCCCGTCGACTCCCCTAGACCCCAATACAGCGCCCTCAGCCAGCAGGAAGTAGTTACAGAGAAAAATCTTCGCCCCTTTTCCTAATAATCATAAGACGGGATATGAAAGAGTTGCTGGCCCAGGCCGGACACTTTAACCAGGAGAAGCCTCAGCCAAATTAAGGAGCTCCTGCCTCCCCTGCCCCTTAGAGATTTACCTGTAACCCTATCCCCCCATCCCTAAGAACCTGCCTCTGGCACCAAATGTGTGCCAATGAAATACCTGTGCATCCCTAATGCCCCTTGGGGTCCACCCCAGACAGAGGCTACTTATGGGCCTCACTCCACGTGTTAGAGTGTGTGTGTGTGAGTGTGTGTTCCAGAGAGAGACCTCCGGCCCGGGGTGGAGATGCTGCCCCCCGGGGGCCGGGGGGGTGTCTCTCCCCACATTCCCCAAATAAAGGTTACTTATATTTTATATTTCTTATCTTTGCAGCCACCGCTGCCCACTCCTTTCACGGCCGTCCACTCTTCCCACTCTACTCCATTCCCTCCTTCCTTCCTTCCCCTCTTCCTCCTCTTCTCAGACCTAACACACACCACCACCACAACACCATGACAAAGTCTCATGTGGTCATAGGTGGGACATTGCAGAGGCGGCTGATTCTGAATGGTGTCGTGCTGGGATCGATTCCTGGTGTGATGCTAGGGGTAAGGGCGCCCACTCTGGATACAATGTAAGGGACAGAAAGAGGGCTGTTGGTGTCACTTGCTGCTTCTTTGCCCCTTTCCTTCTTTGCTCCCTTCTTCCTGCCATGAAGTATTTTTCCTCTGCAATGCCTCTTTCCCATGCCACCCTGCCTTGGAGCCAGGCAACTAGAACTGAAACCTTCACACCCTGTGAGCTAACTAAACCTTTCCTCCTTTAACGTTGGGTGTCAGGTATTCTGTCTCAGCAATGAGACAAGTAACTCAGATACCTAGGAACCAGCTTTTCCCCCAAAGAACTCTGGTTGCTTTCAAGTGACTGGCATTTAGAATCCACTTAGATGGGAGGTATACATATTTTCAGAGGGGTGTTGTGGCTCCTAGATCCTCCCAGGGCACAAATGGAAACACATACAACACCATATCCACACACATCTATGCATAACCATACACATATGCATATACACTCATACACACAGTGAATGCACACAGACACATTCCCATGTGCATAACACAGATTCATACACACACATAAATACATGTGTCAATACACACATTTACATGTGTACACACATGCACATATATCTATAGCCATACACATACAGGCACACATATCCACACACATGATACATATAAACACTCACACAAATACAGTACACAGACATACACACATATGTGCACACAGATACGCATATATGTACACATATCCACACATATAAGCACATATGTATCTGTACACACAAAAACACATGTACCTACATGTGTGCATGCATGCATGCCCCTCACACTGATTTCTGTATCTATCTGTATAACACCAGCATCTCATTTTAAGTACCACAGGGTTCTGAGTAGGTTTTCTCCCTTCAGTGTCCGACTTCCATCACCTGTGTGACATTTGTTAAAATCATCCACCCCTCCAAGTAGAATCAGTCCTCTCTCCCACTGTCCCCAACTCTAGGCAGTGCTCTTTACCCTGCTTGGACGCCGCGTCTCCACCAGGCAGACAGGTCCTATTCGGTTGTCCTTGACTTACTTGGGCTCTGCAATCCCACACAGGCCACCCCTGCATGTCGATGCCCTACTCCCCAGGACTGGACTCCCACAGCACCATCCTTTTAACATTTCCATCACCTCAAAATTGCCTGATATATTCTGTGCCCCATAAATCTGTCCAATAGTGTAAGTCTACCATCCTGAGTGCTGGTATCTGCCTATTCCCTGACCCCCCTCTTCAATCACCTATCAAGCCTCATTTTACCTAGGAAACTCAGCCCAGTGAGGTTACCTTGCTTTTGTTACACTTATTTAATTGACACATATTATTTGTATATAGTTACGAACACAGCATAGTTTGTGTATTTGTACATGGAATGCATAATGTTCAACTGAAGGTAGGTAGCGTTTTCATCTTGAGCACTTATCCTGTCAGTGTGTTGGGAACCTCTCTTCTAGCTATTTTGAAATATATCATAGTTTGTTGCAGATTGTGGTTACCTGACTGTGCTGCAGAAATCCAGAACTAATTGTCTCCTGTCCAGCTGCATTTTGATGCCCAGTATCCAACCTCTCACCCACCCTTCCTCATCTCAGATAACCACTGTTCCGCTCTCTTCCTCTATGAGCTCAGCTTTATTTTCAGTTTCCACAAATGAATAAGAACAAAGAGTATCTGGTTTTTTGTGCCAGGCTTATTTCATTTACTATGATGAGCTCTAGTTCCACGCACTTTGGTGCAAATGATAGGATTTCCCTCGTGATCTTTTCTGGGTCTGAACAGTATTATGTGGTGTGTATATATGACATTCCTTCATCCACTCAACCACTGATGAATGCCGGTTGATTCCATATCTTAAGTAACCATACTGAAACACATGTGATATAACAACCTTTTCTAGTTGTCACCACGGAGGTGAGAGTCTTCCAGGATCCCCTGCACTGTATCCACAGAGGCAATTTTTCCCACTTTCTTGGAATATTCCTTTTGTGTTATGTACTTCTTGTAGATTATCTCAGTGAACCCCCCTCGGGCCCTATGTAGCACAGTAGGGTAACAATAATCCACAACAGTCTGTGAGCACACTGGTGTCCCATTTTACCTATAAGTAAACTGTGTCAGAAATTATGATGACACGACAGGTCAGACATTGTCATCTTTCCATGTCTGATCAAAATATCAGAAACCTGAAAGCAAAGGGAATCACATTCCTTTCATTTATCTCTATGCCCCTAATGAAAACCTGCCTGAGGGGAAAATGGGATGACAAAGTGTTGCTTCACCTAAATGGGAAGGGAAAGTGAGTGGGTGGGGGCTAGATTTTATCTGTCTACATCTATTCCTCACAGAATATAACCTTCTAAACCAAGGATCAGTAGGTGCTTTCTGAAAGGTGCTAAATAATGCATACTTTTTGTCTTGTAAGTTTGTGTGGTCTCTGTCACAACTCTGCTATTACAGTAAGAAAGCATCACAGACATTATGTAAATGTAAGAGCATAAAAACTACTTGTCTTCATAAATAAATGTAGCATTTGTAAATACAGTGCTGCACAGCATCGTCACGCCTGGACCCATGGTGGACCACATCCAGGACAATGGTCGCGTGACACGACAAAGTCATGGCCCAAGATGGTTTGCATAACTGCGCTCTGTGACTGCACGTGGATGAAATCCCCTCATGATGCATTTCTTAGGCTTGTCATGAAGTGATGCACGACTGTAACAGCATTCAGAAAAACAGCCAGGGACACGTTCCTCAATGGGAGGAGACTGGGTCCATTTCTACTATTTCTATAAACTCATTGTCAAGAATAACATCTGGCCTATGGCAGGTTATCCATTAATGTTTGGTGAATAAATAAATAAGCAAGCGTTTCTTGTGTGTTCATGGTAGAGAAGTAGTCCATGCAGCTTTGCTGACCCATCCAGGTAGAGCAGTTGAAGGGAATACAGGAGACTCCACTTAGGAAAGTGGAGGTCCAGTAGGGGTGGTCTTGTTCATTGAAGTCAGTGTGAGGAGAGAGATTTTCATGGGGGCATCCATCCAGGGCCAAAAGATGCAAACAATGTTCCTTTTTGCAACAGCCCTATGAGGCAACTCTGTGTTCTCCTTTAACTGAGGCTCCGAGAGTTGAGTTGATCGACTCCTAGAAAGCCATCGAGAAGCAGCATAAGGCCTACAGCCAGCTCTGCTGGGTTGAGATGCTCTTTAAGCACAGCTGAAGAGATGGGGACTTCCCCATCTGTAGAAACAACAAGGCCAGAACAGGACCCAGGAAATCCAAACAGGATGGCTTCTCCTGGATTCAGTGTTTCCCCACATGGAGTACTAACCTGCGTCCTGGCCTTCAGCGCCCTGTGAGTGCCTGCGGGATGGCTTTTTCCCTCCAGGGTCTAGAGCCTCCATGAATAACTTTCACTTCTCCCAAAAGTTCATGATCCTTTTCACTTCCTGATCTTTGTAAACTCATCCCCGTAGCAGAAACACTTTGTCTTCCGGCTATCAGTCCAACCCCTCCCTACAGTTCACCCCTGGAGGGATTCACTCCACAGCTGGATCGCTGGATCGGACGTCTTTCAGAGGGTTCACCCTTCAGACAGAGTTTCCGTTTTCAGCGGTTCTCCAACTCTGGACTGTGAATCCCCCTGGGCACTGAGCAGAGCTCGCCAACAGCCAGGAGCCTGACAAGGATGGGGACCGTGTAGGGAGAGGCAGGAAGGCGGGCATGGTTGATCAGAGCACAAGATATGGGCATTAAAAATTCTCCAACTGATATTAGCACAAACGTTTCTTTTCCATGAATTAAAAAAAGCTAGGCGTATAACTGTTTGGTATTTTTGCCTTTTCCCTTCCTTCTTTCCTTCCTCCCCCATCCGAGTTCCCTTTTCCTTTTGAACATTTTCTTCCCATTTCACAATATTTGGCGTACAATTTGGATCTTACTCTTTCAGCTTCTTACCCTAGAGACACAATACGATGTTTACACATGTAAATCTGACTTATTTCACTTACAAGTATGGTCTTAAATTGCATCCATTGGGGCTGGGGATTAACTCAGCGTCATAAGCGTTTGCCTGGCAGGCATGAGTTTGATCACGATCACAAGTTTGATCCCTGGTACCAAAAAAAAAAATTGCATCTATTTACCTTAATAGTTTCAAATTTGTCTCCTTTATGGTTGAGTAGTATTCCATTGTATAGAAAAACCAAATCTTTTTAACTGTTCCACAGTTGATGGGCATTTGGGTTGTTTCCAAGATTTAGCTAGTACAAACTGTGTGCTGTAAACATAGGTGCACATATATCACTGTGCTGTAATGTTTTTAATTTTTCCAGGAAGACACCCAAAAGGGGAACACCTGGGTCAAATGGGACCTCCAATCCTAATTTTTCAAGGACTCTCCACACTGACTTCCAAGAGTGCTTGCACCAGTCTGCACTCCCACCATCAGGGGCGAAGGGCTCCTTTTTCCCCACAGCCCCTCAGCATTTGTTATTGGTTGGATTCTTGATGTAGCCATTCTTTTTGGGATGAGGTCAAATCTCAGTGTGGTTTTAATCTGCATCTTGCAAATAACCAGTGATGCTGAACACTTTTTCATGTATTTATTTCCTATTTGCATTTTTCACCTGAGAAGTGTGTATTCATCTCAGATGCCCATTTTTAGATTGGGTTTTGCATTTGGGGAGTCTGACTTTTAAAAATTCCTCACATGGTCTAGATATAAGTCCTTTGTCTGAGGGACAGTTGGCTAAG